TTTTATACAGAATATATATTTGCAGAACTTTAATTCCTTTAAATACTTTTTGTTTTCTCTGAATAAAAGGTAGAAGGTTTTATATGGAAGTTGGAAATGTGCAATTAATCCTGTAAGCCAAATTTCCTTTGTGAATTTTTACAGATTTTTAATTTGGGGGAAATTATATAACTTTAATAAATAAAATAAATTATGGATAGGAAGAGCCTCACTTTCAGCCAAGATGATAAGGAGTTTAAGATAATTCTGACTGGGTGAACAATCTGACTGCATCCCAGTGAGGTATCATGGTAATTCTTTTCCGGTAATATTATACTACTAACCAGAGTATACAAAACATTTGCTAGACCAATTCTCGAATACAGCTCATCTGTCTGGAACCTGCACTGCATATTGGACATTAATACAATTGAGCGTGTCCAGAAATATTTCACAAGAAGAGTCCTCCACGCCTCTGCTCGTAACAAAATACCCTATGCCACCAGACTTGAAATTCTGGGTTTATAAAATGTAGAACTACGCCGCCTTCTGTATGACCTAAGCATAGCTTATAAAATCATCTGCTACAATGTCCTACCTGTCAATGACTACTTCAGCTTCAACCACAACAATACACAAGCACACAATAGATACAAACTTAAAGTGAACCGCTCCAAACTCAATTGCAGAAAATATGACTTCAGTAACTGAGTTGTTAATACCTGGAATGCACTACCAGACTCTGTGGTCTCATCCCAAAACCCCCAAAACTTTAACCTAAAACTATCTACTGTTGACCTCATTCCATTCCTAAGAGGTCTGTAAGGGGCATGCATAAGAGCACAGAGTGCCTACCATCCCTGTCCTAATGCTCCCTTTAATTGTATTCATTTTATGTGTTCAATTCATGGGTATACTTATATATATTATCTAATATGTACTCGACAAAATAAATAAATAAAATAAATAAATGGTAAATGTCCTTTTTGCTTTGAAAGAGGCAGATTCTCTCATGAAGACAAGAAAAATTACTAACACTGGTTTTCACAAGGAATTGTGTACTTTGCCATTCATTACCAAACTGTCTCTCTTACTTATACACATTTTAAATTTAGGTAGTACTGAAACCAAATCATTACAGAAAACAACCCTGGATTCTTTGAAACAGATTAGATAACATCTCAAAATGGGTATGTTGGGTTTATTAAGGAAATCTCCTGCACTGTCCCATACATCAACTGAATGGGCCTACTATCTGATCTTTTCACCTATCTCCGGGAATTAAAGTTGGCCCAAAGTAGGGAATAAAACTATGGTTGTCAACCTTTCCTTTGTGGCTGATCGGCTTTAGCAATGAAAGGAAATTAACCATATGCTACCCTAATGGAAGAACATTAAACACAATGGATCAGATTAAACTCAGGTGTTAAAGCAAATCCCATCCTGGCTTTTTGTTAGTAAGATTACCAACAGTTATGCGTGCTGTCTCTTTAATAGCACACACTCTCTTTTTTCCTCAAATTAACTGAACTCTGATAAGATTTCAAATTCTAACAAGGTACAGCAAGGTTTTTACAAAACCTTATGTAGCTCAAATGCTACATAAGATTTATGACATTTCAGAAGGGGAAAAATTGTGGTACTTGGCCGCTGTTATAGTAAGCCTACTTAGCTAATCTGACTAACAGCCATTCATCTAAATTTAACCCTTTATCAAAACGATCTAGGTTTGTGGCCATCACCACATATTCTGAGTTAGTTAGAAAATGATCAAAATCCAAAAGAGGAGCAAATGCTTTGTGGACCTATGTTCTCATATTTAATTTACAACATGGCCATAGGCTTTGGGAGAAGGGAGGGGTTAAAGGCAATGCCAACTTTCTAGGTTTGGAAAAAATATACCTGTTATGAAATCCTGGTGCAGAAATATTATACAATGATTTATTCTTTTAGTCTATGCATATCCTGTGTTTCTACAACATGTAGCTCAGAACCACACACGTGGGATACACAGCACAACTCTTCCAGTTTTTGACCAGGCATAGATCTACATAGCTTTATTGAGAAAATTGCTTCATGAATCCTTAGACCATTCTACAATACACCAGTGTACTATTCAAAAGGGGAAGCCCAAATAAATCTTTAAGTAATGTCAACAAAATCTACTTCCAAGTCTAGGTTCATGACATTGACACTTTCCTCCATAACATTTTCCTATTAAATACAGTGAACAGATTAAAATGGCAGACATTGATTTTCCCACTGTTCCATCCTGTTCCACAATTAGATTGTGTAGGAATGCCTAAAATTTAATAAATATTAAGTTGAACAAATAAACATTTTTGAATAAAACTTTCTAACAGAATAGTAAACAGGTATCTAAAATTTAATAATCTTTTTAATAACATGTCTGAAAATGCCAACGTTTATAAAATTCGATAGGCTCACGATACGGGAGATAAACTATGAAAAACCTGGAGGTTTTATAAAATGGACAGTTGCATAATGATTAAGAATAATCTATGAAACTATATAAATCAGAAAAAAAGATAAACAAGTCAAGTATGATATATAACAGTGAGTTTTCACTGTGAGTTTCACAGTGAGTTTTCACAAGGATGGGATTGTATTCTTGTCTTGTTGCAATTTCTCGTTGCAATTTTCCAAAAGGCATAGATTGACCAAGAGAAGACAATTACGTTGAATATATCTCTGTCTTCTGGATGAAATGGTTGGGTTTCTATATATCTATACAAAATTATATGCTGTTTTCCCTTCTCCCATATCTTTTAGTTCTCTGTTGTTAGGGGTTAAATAGATTCAGATTTCCACTGGAATTCATAAAATGGATTAAGACATTATATCAGGGGTGGGCAAATGTGGCCCCAAATGTGGACTTCAACTCCCAGAATTCCTGAGACAGCTTGGCTCAGGAATTCTGGGAGTTGAAGTCCACAGGTTGTAAAAGGGCCACATTTGCCCACCCCTGCATTATATGAGTAACCTACAACTAAAGTAAAGTTTATTGGCATATTCTCTCTTACTTTTCTACTATTCAGAGGAACTAGACAAGGATGCTTGCTTTCATCCTTGCTTTTTAATATTTGTGTGGCTTGTGCTATTAGATAAGATTGAGAGATCTATGTAGCACATAACTGAGTTTTGGTTTTGTTTGTTTTTTTTGAAACCTCATTTTACTATTTCAGTGTTCCTGTAAATTATAGGTTTCTTTAGCAACTCTATTACCTGGTCCAAATTGGAATTAATGCCAACGGGTGAAAATTTGGTTACCCATCTATTTAAGGAATATCAGTTCAGTATTTATACCAAATTTAGTAAGTATTTAGGTAAGTACACATAGTCCTCAACTTACCACAGTTCATTTAGTGACTGTTCAAAGTTACAACACCATTGAAAAATGTGACTTACGACCTTTGTAGCATCCCCATGATTATTTGATGAAAATTCATATGCTCGGCAACTGGTTCATATTTATGACCATTTCTGTGTCCCAAGGTTATGTGATCCCCTTTTGTGACCTTCTGACAAGCAAAGTCAATGGGAAAGCCAAATTCACTTAACAACTGGGTTACTAATTTATCTGCTGCAATGGTTCAACAACAACTGTGGCAAGAAAGGTCTTAAAATGGGACAAAACTCACTTAACAAATGTCTCACTTGACAACAGAAATCTTGGGCTCAATTGTGGTTGTAAGTCAAGGACTACCTGTATATACCAAAGGAGATAAATCAGTAACATGTAATATCAGTAAAATATTTAGAAGCAAAAATTATTCTATTTGTTAAGGAATAACTCTTCTAATATACTATGATCTTTTTCAATGCCAGAATTAAATAGAATCCCAAAAAGGCTCACCAGCATGATGTTGTTTGAACAAGGTGTCATAAAGGGAAGATTACAAAAGAGGCCATAAACAGACATATACGTGTGTGTGTGTGTGTGTGTGTGTGTGTGTGTATACATACATACATACAAAAAAAATGTGATGGATAGATGGATCTAGAAGGGAAAAGGAAGAAAAACTTTTACCTGTCTTGCCACATAGAGTAAGAAAAACTGCCCTGTATGACTAATTTCCAAACTTGAAGCTCTGCAGATGTTAGACTACCTGTAGTTGGAGATTATGGAAACTGTTCTTCAATACATCTAGGGACAGCTTCAAGAGGGTGAATTTGTAACAGCCGACTGTGTCTCAGCTCAAAAAAACAATACATGCTCTGCTTTCATGAAGCTGATATAATACAATTCATGCTAACTCCTAACGGATGTCTTAATCATAATTAATTAAAATGTCCTAAGGAGTTTGTTACAAGCATGAAGACTGAAATTACAAAAATAAAGGTTCTTCCAAATCTGTCAAAAGGCTTTTTTTTTGCATCAATACAGAAGTTGTTGACATATTAATTCACTTTTACAAGTGCCCATTTTAAGTTTTCTTGCCAGTGCTATTGCTTTTTAAAAATAAAATAAAACACTAGATGCTTTTAAAAGTATCTCTAGAGATCTAACCCTCTCTTCAGATTCATTCATCAGATTCTGTAAAAAGGAGACACACTTCTTGTTTTATGTTTTCAATATGATAGAACTTCAAAGGGCTTGCAAATTAAAAAAAACTTAATTACAGATGATAGCTTGCTTTTCAAAAAAAAACTCTTCTGAAGTTTGTTAAACAGGAATTACTGCTCTGTTCCTTTGGATAGTTTGCAGCAATTATTGTAACCCTGAATATCAAATTATTACTTTTGGCAATTGCAGATAATACTTTTCTCACTTATATACTTACAAGATACAACTTCAAATTGCTAGTTTCAAGACTAGTAGTTGTATAGCCGCTTGAAAATTATGCCTCATGTCAATAACTTTAGCAGTGGCTCTTATTTTATTTATGAAGCTACAGCAGTTTTAGTGAGCATGTCTTTAAAAGTCCTGTTTTGCATTCTACCCAATCAATTTTCCAGAAGTGACCACAAATATTGGCCACTTGGGTTTGAATGTTGTCAAAATCATGGGGACAAGGGACACAGAGGAATTCTGGGATTGAATGAGATATCTTCTCATGGCAGGTGAGTATATGATTGGACTTTGGGAAGGAGACATTGCGGAAGGAAGGAAGGAAGGAAGGAAGGAAGGAAGGAAGGAAGGAAGGAAGGAAGGAAGGAAGGAAACAGAAAGAGATCTCCTGGTATTTCTCTAAGAAATCAAGGTGGCTTATAAAGAGCTTCTCTTTCATTTTGTCTCCAGAACAACTACATTAAAAGGCTGAATTGAGAGACGTTAACTGGCACAACATCACTCAATGAGTTTCCATGATTAAGGATACATTTGAACAAGGATCTTCCTAGTCCCAGTCCAACTCTTTGGCCATTACATCCCACTTGTTTTCATCAATTAAAACAAAATATTTCAAGGAAGATTTTTACAAGACAGCATCAGAAATAAAGCTTAGGAGGTTGGTAAAATCCCTCCTCAACTGAATAATGGATCCAAGACAGAGAATTCCTAACTTTTCTCACTTGTCTTCACTATTCCATGAAAGTCCATCCCCATCATTTGTTCATTTTCACTTCATTAGCAGTTGTTAATTCAATAGCAGGACTGCAAGACAGGAAGAGTTGGAAGTTTTCTATCTTTTCTCTCTTTCTTCAAGACATGAAAAACCCTGAGAGATACATTCTGTCAAGGGCTACTACTGTTGACTTTCCTTTGAATTGGCATAAAGAAATTATCCAAGTTCTTCCAATATCCTCTCTTTCTGAAAAAAAACGAGAGATTTCCAAGCAATTCAGACAGCTTGCCCATCATCTAACTCTAGAATTGTCTCTTGAAAGAACAGACAATTTCTAGATAACTGCGAGATATTGCTGCTCTGTGTCTGCTAATTAAGCCAACATCTGAGATGAGTTTTCTCTTCAGAAAACAGAAATTATAGTTTACAAAAGTGATAGACAAAGACCAACATGTGGTCTACTGAGTCAAGAAGAACACAACAGAACAAAGCCAGGACTAACCCTTGGCCTGTGAGCTAGAGTGTGATGCATGGACCTTCATCATTTTCTCAAGATAGACTACAGTTACCTGTGATTAGGCATAGAAGTTTTATTAAAATAATTGATTATCTCCATTTGCCTCACTCCACAAATGCTTGTGTGTTGTAGCAATATATTATTATGTGAAAATATTTTCTTATATTCATTCCTTAAGCACATGATGAGTATGGGATTTGGGAATAGAAAATAACCTCCAAATTGAGCAAGTTTAAGAGAGAAGGATAAGTGGAAAAATGCTAAAAAATTGCAATTCTAAATCCAAAACCTGGATTGCTTTTTTGTGGTCCATGCAGAAATCCAGAGTCTGCATTGAAAGATATGGCATAAACCTCTTTTTTTTAAAAAAAAAAAATGGGGGGGTGGGATCCTTCATACACATACAAGGCCTGGAGAAGACTTCAAAAGAAATGTATAGGAATCTGGGCAGGAATAAAAAGACTGAATGAAATCGGTTTACTGTATCAGCTGATTAAAGGTCATTAAGTTCTTATTGAACTAAATTGATTAAATAGTTCAACAATGAAAGCAATTCTTGAGTAGCTGCAATTAGTACACATCATAGCTCAAAAGCGCCAAAGGAATAAAACAGAGTAAGGGCTTGTATGCCTCTGATATAGTAGTTATCTAGGCAATCCACCTTTTAACTTGAGATGTCAGAAATGAAACATGGAACTTTCGTCAGGCAAAACATGTGGTCTACCACTGAACTACGGCTTCCTCTCCGCTGTTTTTTTTAATTTGTTGGGTAAATTCAGATTGTAAGTATAGTTCTTCTGGCCAGAATGGCCATCATGCCACTCTCATTCAACATCAAGGTCATTATTATGGTTTTGTATCCATTATTGTAGAAGGAGCTTTGCATCTTGTTCTGGTTTGTTGGCATATAACCCTGAAACATTAGCTCTAGAGTTTGAGTCAAAAGTGTTCTGAGGCTTGGAAAATCCTATCTAATTCTTGCCATCCTAATTTTAGCTGAAATCACATGCAGAAAAGCTGTCCTACAAATGTCAAGATGTTCTTGTGATTTTTCCAGCCCTGATGGAAGAAGAAATTGTTGACTATCCCACAAAAGATTCTATTCTCAGTCTGATAAATGCTTGCAAAAGCAGTTTAAGTGGAAATACTTAAATACTGATGTTCACTACTTTGTATCAAATGTTCCAACTGTGCTGGAGTTGCACTGTTTCTGATTTTTATTTTTTTTACTCTGAACTTTAGTACCAGAAATAGGGCAGCTGGGAAACAATAATGAAGAATAACTCAGTGATGAGGTCTGACTAATTTTAAGTGCGTGTGACAATAATTACTACCTAGAGCATTTAGCATTGAACTCAGGAATTACTGAAATTTATACAAAGTAGACAAGTTCAAGAGGACCAATCTGGTTTGGGGTTTCTCGTGAAAATATAATGAGTAGCTATTCAAGGAGACATGATTTTTGCCTCCTTTAATCCTGAATATAGTTTGAAAAGATAATTAATTGGCAGAGCTTAGATCTTAGAGACAGCAACAGGAGCAGTCAACAGTTCAGATTTCATCGGTAGCATACGTGGAATGCAGTGGTGAAATGCTCTGAAGTCTGCTACCAGTTCGCTGTGCGCGCGAATGCACAGTGCGCGCCAAATGCATGCTTTGCATGCATGCACACCGCAGGTGCTACCACGCAGCATTGAAAAATGAGGCTTAAGAAGCCTTTTCTAAGGTAAGTAGAACAGTGGGGGGGAAGACAGCTGTGCCGCGTGATTTAGATTTCCTGCTTCCTAGCGAATATAAATCGCGTGGCACAGCTGATCATCAGAAATACCGGTTTGTCCAAACTGGTAGCATTCTTTTACTACCAGTTTGCCCAAACTGGTAGCTTTTATTACTACCGGTTCAGGCGAACCGGTCCAAACCAATAGCATTTCACCCCTGGTAGAATGGCTGCAGAATCTACAAGAAAACAGATTCATCTCCAATCCCTTAAAATGCACATATTTGTTTGGAAGTAGATTGTACTGGCAGAAACTATGTTTATAGTTTATTAGCAAGCATGCGTAAGAATTCAATCTTATGGTAATTTTGCAGTTTTTACCAGATGCGATACTATTTGGCTACTATTAAACTAATATTTAGTTTCTTTCATTATCTATGTGTGATAAACAAGATTCACTTCCTTCTTTTTAGGACAGGTCTCTAAACAAAAAATCATGTCAGATTTAGGCAGATCAAACATTTCATGAATAGGGATCCCAGAAAGACATCCCTCGACCTCAGCCTGGATGATCCCTTCTAGATCAATCAGGTTATTTTTCTGATTATTTTCCCCCCATTTTAGAAAGGATATTTAATGAATCTTTGTTTTAAAGTGGTTGCAAAGAGAAAAAGCCTAAGCAGCTATGGAGGCATAGAGAGCAGGCCTATAATTGGTCTCTGTGTGCTTGTGTGTTTGAGAGAGACTATTATTAATAATATGAAATAGAAAAGTTATCCACCCTGGGGGTTTGGGAGGGATGGGGAAGAAAATGTAAGAATATTAAGGTTTATAGTATTATTACAATATTATGCCTATTCAGCATAGTGAACATAGTGCCATATTACCAAATAGCCATGTGTGTGTAAATAATTCTTTTGCATCTCCGATAATATTGTCTGGTACAAGCATTCTGCCTTGGAAAAAATCCAGGCTAGGTGGGGAAATCCTATTTTTAAAACTGAAAATAATTCAATTATAGTTTATATTTTAAAAGGAAGGAAAAGGAAAGCAGGGAAAAACTCTTTGAAATCATTTTAGTTGAACTGTCTCAGGGTATTCATTTCATAATATTATTAAGACATATATTTATTCATTGTAACATTAAGCTTTTGTTTTATTATATATTGAAACAATTGAAACTTTGTTTATATCTATATGCTACCTAGTGAGGTGCAGGGTAACAGGAAACAAAATATTAGTAAAAGAGATTCTTGCTTGGTTCAAGTTCCTTTATGCATTCAATTACATCTTTTTATTGCAAGAATAAAAGGCTTAATGTCAGTGGTGAAATCCAATTTTTTTTTTACTACCAGTTCTGTGAGCATGGCTTGGTGGGCGTGGTGTGGCTTGGTGGACGTGGCAGGGGAAGGATACTGCAAAATCTCCATTCCCACCCCACTCTGGGGCCAGCCAGAAGTGGTATTCGCCAGTTCTCCGAACTACTCAAATTTTCCACTACCGGTTCTCCAGAACCTGTCAGAACCTGCTGGATTTCACCCCTGCTTAATGTCATTATGAAATTTTAAGTTTCATAATGGTTCCTCTTAAATTGCAACTTCGCATCTATACCTTGAGGTGACTTGGGCTGACAGTGACTGATCGGAGATTTCTTAATGACCAGCAATTATTGTAGTTCCTCTGGTGAACTATTATATATCACCCTACCTCTCATCTCAGTTCTGGAGTGTCAATTTTGGTTTTTGCACCACAGCTCTTTCTTTAGTTGTGTTTCCACTAAAAGGCTATTCCAAATGTACATTCTTTACTTTCCTAGTTCTATTAAAAAACTTGAAAGGGTTCAATTGTTGCAGATTTGGGGACACAGCACATGTCACTTAGCTGCAAGCCCGTTGCCCTGTACATACTGCAATGGAAGGTAGGATTTTTTTTTTTATTTTTTTTTTGCAGAACGTATATTATACTCACATACCATAAAGATACACGTGCTTGTTTTGTTAACTTTTTAATGTTTTTAAAAATATATTATTTATGTGGACTTTAACTATGTATAATTCTTATAATAGTTTTCTTTTGTTGGCTGATGATTACACATGGGCAACAAAAATAACATTTTAGGATACTCTTGATGTTAATAGCTATTTTGCCCATTTTAATTTGTTGCATGGAATCTTAATTTTGCTTTAAAATTAAATATAATATTAAACATCTGAATGTTTGGATGCTCAAAACCACACTGACAAAAGGAAAAGGGTTCATTATAGCAACATATAGCTTTTGGGATTGCGTTAGTGTATTTCCACTGTAATATAATCCATGAGGC